AGCCATTGCGGTGCTGGGCTGGGCCGCGGGGATCTTGTCGTCGCAAGCTGGTGCGGTGTCCGGCTGGGCCGCGGGGATCTTGTCGTCGCAAGCCGGTGCGGTGTTGGGCTGGGCCGCGGGGATCTTGTCGTCGCAAGCTGGTGTGGTGTCAGGCTGGGCCGCGGGGATCTTGTCGCAAGCCGGTGCGGTGCTGGGTTGGGCCACGGGGATCTTGTCGTCGTGGGGGTGCGAGTCGGAGGGCTCTGGCGTGTCTGGTCCATCTTCATCAATCATGATAACTTCCACTGCGAACTCGGCGAATTCATTCTCCTCATCGTCTGCGCCCGAGCCCCCCTGATTCTTGGAACGGGTTCTGGGAGGCTTGCATGCGTTCTTGAGGATGGCAATGTCAGGATCCCTGGATATTGGGTGCGCACCCTTGAGTTTGTACACGTAGAAAATCATTGCATGCAGGCAGGCCCCCTCGAGCAAACTCCACGAGCTGTAGGGCTCGCCGTCAGCGTAGAAAGGCAGGTTCCCCCCATCCTTGCTGTAGTTGGTGCCGCCGAGCTTCCAGCCCGACGCCTTTCGAACTTCGGGGGGGGGGGGGGACAGTGCAGGTCAAATCTATTGGCACCCATCCACCCTTTCTTCCTCGAGGGAAGCAGGGATGGATAAGGGGAAGAGGGTCTAGACAGCTTACCTGCATTGTTTCCTCCCTCGACAGCTGCTCAAATATCACGCAATAACAGGACTGTTTAACTCATGTGTTGCCTTGTGGTGTCTTATGGTTTATTATGGTTTCTTATGGTTTCTTATGGTTTCTTATGGTTTGTTATGGTTTGTTATGGTTTGTTATGGTTTGTTATGCTCTGTGCTGCTGTGCTGTGATGTGCGATGTTGCGATCGTGATTCACTGTGCATGCTTATCATGGTGCTGGGCTCGTGTGAGTGTGATGCGATATTGCTTGATCCTACTTTCCCACGGGCGATATGATGTTTGTCTGTACTGTGGCGTTGCTCATATGTCGTGTTGATGGCGTGCTATGGCATGCTATGCAGTCGATCGGGCTTCCGCCCATGGCTCGCAGAGCGGCATCAGGAAGAGAGGGGGAGGAGGAGGAACATGAAGAGAAGGAGGTAAAGGAAGAGGAGGAGGAGGAGGAGGAGGAGGAGAAGGAAAGAGTGAGAGGGAGGGGGCCGCTCCACATGCGCATTATCCCTTGTCTCAGCCAGCCTGAGCCAATTCCTAATTGGCTCAGGCTGGCTGAGACCGAGGATGACCCCTAATTATTAGGGGTCATCCTCGGTCTCCTCTATCCCCCTCCTTCCCTGACCTTCCAGAGTGCTAAACCATAGCCCTCCAGACCTATAAACCTATCTGGACTGCTCAAAACCTCGACAGGAATTGAGACGCCAAGATCCTGGTGCTACTTTTTAGCCCTCGTGGAAGGTCAGGGTTGCTCTCCCCCACTCTAGAACCCCCAATTCCATTCACCCCGAAATCGTCCCCCACCCTGGCCGAACCCCCTATCTCTCGCCTGGCCTCGTCAAGCTTGAAGACAGCTCTCGCGTACGCTGATGTCGGGGGCCTGCTGTCGAGTGAGGTCAGGACAGACAGCAGCACGTCCCGGTGGTATTTGAGGTCATCCTTGCAGACCTCGGGAGATGTGCCGCCCTCGGCGGCGCGCCAAGGAGGGGTTGGGGGCGGGGGGGGGCTTCTTGAAAAGAGGGGCCACTCCTTCTAAGAAGCCCCACCTCGTAAGAAGCTCTCCCTGCCCCCCGCCACTCCTCGGCGCGCTGCCGACGCCGATAGCCCCCGCCCGATTCGTCCCTGGGATCCGTCCCTGATGAAAGGGTGAGGCTCCCTTGGGGCCCCATCGGGGCCACCCCAAACCGTGCAAAGGCCCCTGGGTCCGAGATTCCCCGAGACCCCTTCAAGGTACCCTTGATGGGGGCTGCTTACAGTCAACCCGTAGAGTAAGGATGCGCGAGGATACAATGGCCTTGGACGCCCAATTCGAAGCCTTTCGAGCGGGCTGCGGCCAACGAAAGCGGCCAAGGATGGGCCGAGGAGGCAAGGATGCAAGGGTACCCTTGGGAGGGTTGCCCATCCGTACTATGCGGGTTGACTGTAATGGGTTCCCCAGGGCTCTCGAAAATATTCTTTCTCGCAACCAGGCGCCTTGATTCTACCGTGGCTCACGTCAGCCACCAGTGGGTACAGGTTGTTGGTCCTCAGGGGCAGGGCTATAGTGCCCAGACCTTCCAGGAGGGCTTAAAAATAACACCAGGACCTCGACACCGAAATTCCTGTCGGGATTTTAGGCAGCCCAAAAAGGGCTACAGGTCTGGAGGGTTATCTATTGGCACTCTGGAAGGTCAGGGTGGTTCCCGGGTCCTTTCAACTTGATCGACCAGCTCGGCCGTCAGTACGGCCGCCAACGCGTTGAATATCTGATCAGTGGGCGTCGCCATCGCGGCGACGGCGCGACAGGTGCGAACAGAATGGAGGTGGACGTCGAGGGGGCCGAAGAGGGGGCCGAAGAGGCAATGGGTGAGGGATCGGGAGAGGAACTGGAGGCGAGGAGGAGAGAGGTACAGAGGGCGGGGGCTCCGTTGGCACCCGTCGATGGCCCCTCTGGCCCCTCTGGGGACCTGCCCTCCTGCAGGCCGAGCAAAATGCTCGAGCCTGGCGCCGTCGGATCGGGTCGCATCGGGCGGTCGGTGGGGCGGGCGTTCGGTTGATCGGGCGAGCGGTCCTCCTCCTCCTCCTCCTCCTCCTCCTCCTCCTCCTCCTCCTCCTCCTCCTCCCGCCTCCACATCCACCTCCGCCTCCTCCTCCCGCCTCCGCCGCCTCCTCCTCCTCCTCCTCCTCCTCCGCTCCCCCTCCTGCTCCTATACTGCGCCCACGGCGAAGACGCGATGACGGCATGGCGACGATGCGATGCCAAGACGGCACGACAATGTTGCAACGACTAGGAGGAGGAAGAGGAGGAGGACGAGGAGGAGGAGGCGGAGGAAGAGGAAAAAGAGGAGGGAGGAGGAGGAGGAGGAGGAGGAGGAGGAGGAGGAGGAGGAGGAAGAGGAGGAGGAGGAGGACGGAGGAGGAGGAGGAGGAGGAGGAGGAGGAAGAGGAGGAGGTAGAGGAGGAGGAAGAGGACGAAAAGGCTACAAACACGAATACTATTAATACTAATGGATAATAACAATGCTAGTAATGTGTTGCGTTGTGTTGTGTGTTGTGTGGTGTTGTGTTGTGTTGTGTTGTGTTGTGCTGTGCTGTGCTGTGCTGTGCTGTGCTGTGTTGCGTTGTGTGTGTGTGTGTGTGCGTGTCTGTGCGTGCGTTTGTGTGCATACGCGCGCCGTCGGTGCGTATGTTTGTGTGTGTGTGCGTTTGTGTGTATCTGTGCGTGCGTGTGTGTATGTGTGTGTGCGTGTTTTGTTACGTTCTCTTGTTCCCCGCCCGTGCTGCGCCGCTATCCGGTTTTTGGACTACACAAGCGACAGAAGTCGTCAACGCTCAGCACATGGCTAAAACAAAATCACCGTGGCAACAAAAAAGCGCACCGCAGCCAGGCGCGTTGGAACGCCAGCGAAGGAATGACAAAACATGAGCGCGCGTGCGATACGGCCATCACGCAAGGCCAGCAGGAAGCTTGAAAATCAGGCGGCGACAAAACATATGAAGCTAAAAAGGCATTCGACTATCTGTTTGCTTGCCGACGTCATGCATATTTGCATGAAATCAACGCGTGAACGTGGTGTCGCTGCTGACGAACTTAAGTTTTTTATGGTGTTTTGTGGCTTTCGTTCGCACGCTCGAAATCAGCATCGCTGAAAGCATAAATTTATAAACCCTTAGACTTCCGTCCTCGGGAAGTCTATAAAAATAGACTTCTGGAGGCTCTGGGCAGCTGACCCGCGGTGACCCGGTGACCCGGCGGGCTGGGTCAGCTGACGCGGTGACCCGGTGACCCGGCGCCCCGGTGGGCTGGGTCAGCTTACCCGGTGACCCGTTGACCCGGTGACCCAATCCTTCTCACTGTCTCTTGTTGCTCTTCCTCTTCCTCCTCTTCCTTCTCCTTCTCCTCATCCTCCTCCTCGCGGGCGAGGAGGAGAAGGATTTCGAGAAAGAAGGGAAGCCTCACTGCGCCAAGAGAGCGTCTCTGCCTGAGACGGGTGAGGGTAAGAAGAGGAGGAGTATCGGGAGTATCGGACTGGGGGGCGCAGTGTCCCACTCCTGGCTACCTATGTCTCTGGATCTGATCTGATCTGACCACTTGAAGGGCTGGCGCCGGAGGGGAGCGCTTGGAGGATCTCATTTGCCTTCGTAACCTCCTTTGGGGGCACCGCGCGGGGGTAAGAAGAGGAGGAGGAGGAGGAGGAGGAGGAGGAGGAGGAGGAGGAGGAGGAGGAGGAGGAGGAGGAAGAGGAGGAGGTGCAGGATCAGAGGGGGTGAGGATCAGGAGGTGTGCGCAGTCGGTCTTACAGCTCGCTGTCCACAGCTTTGGCTCGAGGATGGGCCCCCCCGCGTGTGCAGTTTGCGGCGCCACGGCTGCCACCGAGCTGTGTTCGCCTGCGTTGCTCGCGGCGTGGGCGGCCGAGGAGGGCCTCAAGTGGCGTTGGCACACACCCCTGCAGGCCTACTGGTATTGCTGCCAGCGCTGCCGCCGGTCGGTGTGGCCGTGGGACGGGCGCTGCCGCAACCGGTGGTCGTCGCCGCTGCCGGCGACTACCCGGAGAGCTAGGCACAAGTTGGTCGTGGGAGATTTTTTATTGACGGAAGCTCTTCCGGATTTTCTGCGGCCTGCGGGCGCGGGGCCTGCCGCAGCCAGCCCGGCTGCTCACCCTGCGAGCGCTGGCGCAACGGCCGTCTCCCACGCCACGGCGCGGCCTCTTCCAGCCCTTTCAGCCCTCGGCGCCCTCAAAGGGACAAGCGGGCGCGCCCCGCGGCAGTGGGGCCCCTCTGTGGGGAGGCGCCCGTGGACCCAGACGACAGTGGGAGGACGGGGCCTGATATGCGGCCCTCGCGGACGCGCCTCCAGTGCGCGCACGAGCAGGTCCGCCAGGCGCGGGCGGACAACGTAACAGCGGCGCGGGCGACCCTGTCCGGCGCCGGCCCCGCTTGGGTTTCTTGGAAACGACAGGGGGTGGGGCGATTACGTTGTGCCCGAGGGCAGGGGCGGGGCCAGCGCTGGCGGGGCGGACTCCCCCCGCGGTTGTGTCGTCGCCGCGGAAGGTCCCGTGGCTGCCCCCTGCTGACCGCTGGCCAACGACCTGGCAGGCGCCGGAGAGCTGCGACAGCTGCGCCGCAGAGCTGCCGAGGGGTCTGGACGAGAGGGCGGCGATGCGCTTCCAGATCAAGGTGCGGCTCGAAGCGAGCGGGCTGGTGGTGACGGCCTACTCGCGCTCGCGCTGCAAGGCCGCGCTGCTGGCGGGCGACACGCTGGGCTTCGCCGACAGCTTCGAGGACCGCGGGGGAGTCTGCTGGGCGGACACGGCGGAGCTCCGCCGGCGGCGGGAGCTGGCGCGGGCCAGCCAGGGGCGGGCGCTCCCGAGCCAGAAGCGGAAGAGGGACTGAACCCGGCCAGCGAATCGCCGCGCCAGCGCAGCGAGTCGGGCAGCGGCCGCGGGCGCCGGGCGCTGGCCGACTGAGGCGGCCTCGGCGTGCGCCGCCGACGAGCCTACTTAGCCCTTGGGGGCCGCCTTAGGCGGGATCGCAGCGCGGGCAGGTAGACAGGGGCGCGTCTCCCAGGGGGGCGGGGCGCAGCGCGCAGGGGTGGGCGTTTCTAGACGGAACACTGGCTTCACCGGCCCCCCTCTGCTCGTCGTGGTCGTCGCGCCGCTCGTCGTCGTCGCGCTCGCCGTCGTCGCGGCCGGACCCCCCATCCAAGGCTGAACGTCTGTAGACGGAACCTTGGCTTGACGCGTCACCATTGGGAGACGGGGCTCCGCGCACAGGGCTAGTTGTCCGTAGACGGAGCCCCAGTATGACCTGGCTGCCGCTGCTCGTCATCGTCGCGGTCGTTGTCGTCGCGCCCGTCGTCGTGGTGCTCGCCGTCGTCGTGCTCGCGTCTTGGCCCCGCGTCCAATGCTGATCGTCGGTGGACGGAACCATCGCTTGCCGTGTCTCCCTTGGGAGACGGGCTGGGCGCGCAGAGCTGGGTGTTTGTAGACGGAACCCTGGTTTGACTGGCCCCCCTCCCCTCTGCTCGTCGTCGTCGCGGTCGTCGTTGTGGTCGTCGTCGTCGTGCTCGTCGCCGTCGTGCTCGTGGCTTGACTCCGCGTCCAAGGCTGGGCGTCTGTAGACGGCGCCCTGGCTTGACGCGTCTCCGATGGGGGCTTAGCGCACAGGGCTGGGTGTCTGTAGACGGAACCTTGCTTTGACTGGCCTCCTTCTGTTCGTCGCGATCGTGGTCGTCGTCGTCGCGCTCGTCATCGTCGTGCTCGCGGTCTGACCCCGCATCGAAGGCTTGGCGTCTGCAGACGGAACCCTGGCCTGACGTGTCTCCCCGGGGAGGCGGGGCTCAGCGCATAGGGCTGGGTGTCTGTAGACGGAACCCTGGCTTGACAGGCCTCCCTATGTTCGTCGTCGTCGTCGTGGTCGTCGTCGTCGTCGTCGCGGTCGTCGTCGTGCTCGTCGCCGTCGTGCTCGTGGCTTGGCCCCACGTCCAGGGCCGGGCGTCTGTAGACGGAGCTCAGGCTTGACGCGTGTCCCTATGGGACGAGGGGGCTCAGCGCGCAGGGCTGGGTGTCTGTAGACGGAACCTCGCCTTGACTGGCCTCCCTCTGTTCGTCGCAGTCGCCGTCGTGGTCGTCGTCGTCGTCGCGCCCGTCATCGTCGTGCCCGCCGTCGTTTTCGTCGCTCCTGCGGTTTGACCCCGCGTCGAAGGCTTGGCGTCTGTAGACGGAGCCCTGGCACGATGTGTCTCCCCGGGAAACGGGGCTCAGCGCACAGGGCTGGGTGTCTGTAGACGGAACCCTGATTTGACTGGCCTCCCTATGCTCGTCGTCGTGGTCGTCGTCGACGTCGTCGTCGTCGCGGTTGTCGTCGTGCTGGTCGTGCTCGTGGCTTGGCCCCGCGTCCAAGGCTGGGCGTCTGTAGACGGAGCTCAGGCTCGACGCGTGTCCCTTGGGAGACGGGGTTCAGAACGCAGGGGTGGGCCTTTGCAGACGGAACCCGGGTTTGACTGGCCTCCTTTTGCTCGTCTTGGTCGCGGTCGTCGCCGTCGTGCTCGTGGCGTGGCTCCGCGTCTAAGGCTGGGCGTCAGTAGACGGAGCCCGGGCTTGACGCGTGTCCTTTGGTGGACGCGGCTCAGAGCGCAAGGCTGGGTGTTTGTAGACGGAACCCTGGTTTGACCTGCCTGCCTCTGCTCGTCGTCGTTGCGGTCGTCGTCGTCGCGGTCGTCGTCGCGCTCGTGGCTTGACTCCGCGTTCAAGGTTGGGTGTCTGTAGAAGGAACCCTGGCTTGACGTGTCTTTCTTGGGAGACGGGGTTCCGCGCACAGGGCTGGTTGTCTGTAGACGGAACCCTCGTTTGACTTGCCTGCCGCTGCTCGTCGTCGTCGTGGTCGTCGCGGTGGTCGTCGTCGTCGCGCTCGTCGTCGTCGTCGTGCCCGTCGTCGCGGTCGTTCTCGTGTCTAGACTCCGCGTCGAAGGCCGGGTGTCCGTAGACGGAACCTTTGTTCGACGTGCCCCCCCTGGGAGACGGGCTCAGCACACAGGGCAGCCCCTCCCCCAACTCCAACTCGAATCTTCCTCCTACTCCAACCCGCCCTCCTCATCCTTTCTTTTTCTCCGCGAGCATCGTCACGCCAGTCAAAGACTGCGGGGTGGACCTGCGGTCCCGCACTCGCCCGTTGGAGAATCGCGCGTTGCTTGCCAGTTTGCAGGCGCGCTAACTTAATTGCTCGGCGAGCATCTGTGCCACATGGGGATCCGAGGCGCTGCGGGGCACGCGGGGAAAGAGGGAGGATAGGGAGGAGGAGGAGGAGGAGGAGGAGGAGGACGACGACGAGGGAGTGCAGGACGACGAGGGCGGAGGATGAGGAGGAGAAATATTGTTTTTGATTGCGAGGCTGATGAAGCCGAAGGGCCGGTCAACTGTAGGCGGCGCTTCTGCTAGCGCGCGCTGTGCTCTACCGGGGCACTGGGGGAGAGGAACAGGGAAGGAATCACACAACCAAGAAGAGTGGAGTAGGGCTGGGACACAGACGACATCCCTATACAACTCAGCATGACCAAGTGTCCGCGCGGAGGCCTCACAAGGGAATTACCACACGGAGCTCATCTGCACGCCCGCGCGCGCGCGCGAGCCACGAGAGGCGCGGCACAAGCGGCGAGACAGCAGAGCGCGAATGTAGTCACGCTGGGGCGCTTGCCCGCTACAATCCCTGGTGTCTGCGGCCAGCAGGGCCCGTGGCAAGCAGGCCATCCATCCGCATTGGCCCAGAGGCCCGGCGCGGCAGAAGGGGCGATGGGCCCCGCGCAGGGAGGAGGTGCACGATCAGGGGGATGAGGATCAAGAGGTGTGCGCACATGCTGCTGCTCGTGCCTTCTCGTAGTACGGCACGCCGTGGCGATGCGTTGGTCGTCGCATTTTCGCCCCCCCCCCCCTGGGGGCCGCAACAAAAATTCACTATCCCGGCAAGGCAACCTAACAGCGATGTGTAGGAGCAGATCTGGAAGCATTCCCCTTGGAAGCATTCCCCTTAAGATTCGGATGAGAATCCAGTTGTAGAATTCTGCTGTTCTCGCATTCGTAGTCGCATTCGCGATGACAGTCGCGGTGGCAACGGCAGTCGCAGTCACAGCCTCAGCCTCAGCCTGCCTCAGCCTCAGCCTCAGCCTGCCTCAGCCTCAGCCTGCCTCAGCCTCAGCCTCAGCCTGCTTCAGCCTCAGCCTCAGTCTGCCTTCATCCTCGGCCTCAGCCTCAGCCTGCCTCAGCCTCAGCCTGCATCAGCCTCAGCCTCAGCCTCAGCCTGCCTCAGCATCAGCCTGCTTCAGCCTCAGCCTCAGCCTGCCTCAGCCTCAGCCTCAGTCTGCTTCAGCCTCAGCCTCAGTCTGCCTTCAGCCTCGGCCTCAGCCTCATTCGCGATGGCAGTCGCAGTGGCAACGGCAGTCGCAGTCACAGCCTCAGCCTGCTTCAGCCTCAGCCTCAGCCTGCCTCAGCCTCAGCCTCAGCCTGCTTCAGCCTCAACATCAGTCTGCCTCCAGCCTCGGCCTCAGCCTCAGCCTGCCTCAGCCTCACCCTGTATCAGCCTCAGCCTCAGCCTCAGCCTGCCTCAGCCTCAGCCTCAGCCTGCCTCAGCATCAGCCTGCCTCAGCCTCAGCCTCAGCCCGCTTCAGCCTCAGCCTCAGTCTGTCGTCGGCTTCGGCCTCAGCCTCAGCCTGCCTCAGCCTCAGCCTGCCTCAGCCTCAGCCTAAGCCTCAGCCTGCCTCAGCATCAGCCTGCCTCAGCCTCAGCCTCAGCCTCAGCCTGCCTCAGCCTCAGCCTCAGCCTGCTTCAGCCTCAGCCTCAGTCTGCCTTCAGCCTCGGCCTCAGCCTCAGCCTGCCTCAGCCTCAGCCTGCATCAGCCTGAGCCTCAGCCTCAGCCTGCCTCAGCCTCAGCCTGCCTCAGCCTCAGCCTCAGCCTGCTTCAGCCTCAGCCTCAGTCTGCCTTCAGCCTCACCTCAGCCTCAGCCTGCCTCAGCCTCAGCCTGCATCAGCCTCAGCCTCAGCCTCAGCCTGCCTCAGCATCAGCCTGCCTCAGCGTCTGCCTCAGCCTGCCTCAGCCTCAGCCTCAGCCTCAACCTCAGCCTCAGCCTCAGCCTGCCTCTGCATCAGCCTGCCTCAGCCTCAGCCTCAGCCTGCCTCAGCCTCAGCCTCAGCCTGCTTCAGCCTCAGCATCAGCCTGCCTTCAGCCTCGGCCTCAGCCTCCGCCTGCCTCAGCCTCAGCCTGCATGAGCCTCAGCCTCAGCCTCAGCCTGCCTCAGCATCAGCCTGCCTCAGCCTCAGCCTCAGCCTGCCTCAGCCTCAGCCTCAGCCTGCTTCAGCCTTCAGCCTCAGCCTCAGTCTGCCTTCAGCTTGCCTCAGCCTCAGCCTCAGACAACAAGCGCCGCGACCTACAGCCCTGCCCGGATGGAGCGGCGACGGACGGCGGCGACGGGTGGCGACGGCGACAACAGAGCCGCCAGACCGACAGCCAGGCCCAGTTTCCTGGAGTAGGTGCCCGGGATAAGGCGAAGCCTCTCTGGCTGAAGTTTGAAGGCGTTCGGCAGTGTACTGCCGCCCAGCCAGAACCATGGGCGAGCCGGAATTGAAACGCCGCCGCCATGTGGAGTCTGATGCATCTCTGGCGTTGGAGCAGCAGCTTGCTTCGGCTGTGCAGGCGGGTGGGAGCCGCGGCAAAGAGCTGGAGAAAGAGACAAAAAGAAAGAGAGAGAGAGAGAGAGAGAGAGAGAGAGAGAGAGAGAGAGAGAGAGAGAGAGAGACTGACAGAGAGAGAGAGAGAGAGAGAGAGAGAGAGAGTGAGAGAGAGAAATAGATCTCGAGAGGAAAACGGCATGCCCCTTGCCATATGCACCTTCATTTGTTTCGTCT